AATCAGTTCTAATCTCGACATGTAAAGAAAACTGCCAAAGTCGGTGAAGTCCTAACGCTTAGTGATTGGTGTCATATCCACTAGGCTGCAGCCAACACCTTTAAATTTCTTTCTTTCCTTTTCCTCATTTCTTTCTAACCGCCATCACGTTACGCGAATAGTGGGCATGCCCTGAATGCCCTGAATGATTGGTCATATCAAAAAAAAAAAAAAAGTATATATATATGTTAGATGGGCTAAAAAAGTATTGAACTTATATAAAGCGTTAATCGGTAACAAATTTCGATGCATCCGGAATTAAATTGAATATATCGGTTTTAACCACTTGTTTACTAAGTATATTCGCATAACGTTTCCGTTAACATTTTAGAAGAGCTTCGCATTTATTCGATTTTTAATATGCCATTTTTTGAGAAATACCTTAGAAAATGTTGCAATGATTTCATCAAAACAAGTATCGTAACGTATTATTTGAGTTGTGTAGGAAACCACTTACTTTTGTCAGGTATCCGTTTTGCCGTCGGTGTTGTGTTATATTATATCCGTTTTAAATTTCCAAGTTGGAAAGCATACGAGTTAAAGAAGAGTAATGGAGTTTATACAAATAATTTACTATCGTATATATGTATATATATGCATACATACATACATACATACATATATGAATATTTATATGTAACAAATATTTTAAATACGTTAACTACACATATATTTTTATTAATTCATTATTATTATTATTATTATTATTATTGTGCAAAAAAATATTTTTAAAAAAAACATCCTACAAGTGTGGCACTTGTATCTGTCATAAGAGAAATTATAGGTTTAGTTGTCGATTGTAAATAAATTTCATATAGCACACACACGGGTTATTATATTGACATTTAAAAATCGCTTTTAACGTTTTAAGAAATTCTATAAAGAATGCAAATTGATGTAAATTTTACTCAATATTTTGTTACGGCTATCGATCTAAAAATCGTTTTTTATTTATTTAGTTTAATTATTTATTTTTATTTCTTTGGAAGAATTTATTATAGAAACCATTAAGCTGTAAAGTTAAAGGAGGCGACTTTTTATATGCGCGCAAAGCTTTCTCGTGAAGCGCGACAACGATGCACGGCGAGCGAAAAACCACGATTGGATGCTGATTACAAATCGAAATCATCAAATATCCCTATTCACTCACACAAGAAACCTAACGGAAAAGAAACATTCGAACAAAAAAACCGAAACAAACACACACATTTACCAAAAAACAAATCGATTAACAGAAAGGATATTTTGAAAAAGTAATTTTTTTCTAATTCTTAATTACTGTTGATGGTATTCTGGTGGTATTCATTTGATGACTGATTGAAATCCGCTGACATAACTTACAAAACAAATGATAACCATGCCATTTGTATGAAGGCCGCACTCTTTCTCTGGCTTTGTCATTATTTACGCGCTTAAGCTGCTCTCTGTGTTTACGCTACTCCTGCTTTCTCATATTCCGTTGCTTTTCAAAGTCGTGCAAGCATTTGACATGCGTACGTTGTATAAGGCAATTATTTTTTTAAATATTATAATTAGAGGATCTTACGTGTTACGCAATTAGAAGAGAAAAGTATGTGAACTTCAATTTTTTTATAGAAAGTTAGCTTAATGTGCAGAGGTATAGTTAGTGGCAACCAGACCTTATTATTGTTCCCAACGCCGCTTGTGGGACAAGACCATGTTAGGATTGTGCGGATGGACTGAGTCTAAGCAAATGATTCTGAATCGATTCATATTACATTCTGAATCGATTTAAGCTTGTCTGTCCGTCCCTGGATGCAGCTGGAATTACAGCTTTTGTTTTTGTTTTGAATGACCAATCGTTCGGCGATTGCCCACTATTACTGTAACCCGATGACGGCCAGAACGAAGAAGCGAAGAAAGGGAATGATGTAACGAGGTGGCGGCAGCCTAGTGGGTTTGTAAGCCTTTTCCCACTGAACACCCACCACTGCCAAACATCGACTAGGCTGCGCCCACCGCCTCCCTATTTGTTTCTCCTTATTTCTTCCCTGAGTGATTGGTTGTGTCATCAAGACCAAAACATCGACAAATAGGCCTCATAAGATTGAAATAACTATTCAGTGTTTACGCAGGAGCAAATAAGCATCGTACCATGCGTCCTAAATCACCCGATCACACGATCGGCTAATATAATACTTCACTGACGTAGTGATAAGAGTATGCTTTAAAAGGACGGAACTAAAAAGCATAGTCAACACAGTTCATTCTGAGATTAAATTTCTCTAAAATTCAGTTTACGATGCATTTTTGGGGCGAATTTTCTGGCAAAGGGAAATATACTGCATATAATTTGGGTATATGACATACTTTTGGGGCAGATTGGAAATATTGACCATTTCCGTTATCACCCCTCCCCTCCCCCTCCCTTCAAAATCTCGCCAATGGCCATAAAATCATACTAAGATGAGCACATGATCCTGACATAATATGTTCATAATCAATAAAAAAAAGTTACGTTGGGATGTGCACTTACTTGAGATAGTATGTATCCTATCTTCGCTCCTAAGCAGGTACGGCTTCTTACTTTGCTGACACTATGTTAAGAGCATTTAATGCAATTTGATGAACACTGCTTTTTCTTAGGCATTGTTTTGTTTTTTTTTTTTAATAATAATAAGCAATAACTTTGAGTCAATTAAAACTCAAATTTGATTCGAAAGCTCTTACACGTTCTCCTATTGATCGCTTCCCATAGAAATTGAATTCTATCATATCCATAACAATCTACTTTCATAAGTCTCCATGCGTAGGTATACATAAGAATCGAAGCCTTCGATGCTTTTCAAGACATTTTATTTACTAAAACCTATTAAGCCTTCGAAGTTTAAAGATTGTTCCATTCATTCATATACATTTAGTGTTACATTAGACTAAGGAAAGAAATTTCCCATCAAGCCTTGCTCTTTATTAGTGTTTTTATTATTATCTTCTGGGGTATTGTCTTTATGCACAAAACCGCACACTCATTCGCGTTTAAAACACTAAAAATGATTGCATTCTCATCACGTTTCATTTCTGCGAAATGTTTCGATTCACATATGTACCTCATCTCTTTTTGGTATTAATTTGAATTTATTTCAATTTCCTTTACATGTGTGCTTATGGAGAGTTTCTTGTATTTCCTTCCTCTCTCTCATTCGTTAACATTAATATTAGTGTATATATTTTCATTCATCGTCAATATGGGGGATGTTTCTTTAATTTTTATAAAAAATGGCGTTTACTTCTAAAAACCTTTCCCATTAGTTCTAATATAAACAAGTTTTAATGGACGTCAATGATTATAATAAATATTAAGTCAGACATCAGTCTATTTAGAGATGTTAGTAAAAGATTGTGGCACCTCTGACCGTTATATTAAAATCTATACCAAATCCAAGCATACAAGGTTTAACAATATTTGTTTTTTTTTTAGATGCTTAATTAAGATGAACTAAGCGAATAATGAGCCAGATAATAAACAGTAGTAATTATTTGCAAGAAATGTATATAAAAATATTGTTTTAATTAAAAAATGATGAATATTGTGGGTGTTTTTCTAAAAGTAAAATCAAATCTGATCTGGGAAACTGAATGAGATTTTGCAAAGAAATTTCTCGTTTAACAGATTTTGCGAGGAAATTTCTCATTTATCGAAGCGAGGATTTCTACCAAGTTAAAAGATTTCGCAAGGAAATTTCTCATTTATCGAAGCGTTGCAATCTATTGAAAGCAACTCTATGCTCTCTCTATTCTCAACGCAGGGTACTTTTTTTATTAACCTTGTAAAAGGAAAAACCAGCTAACGGCTTTTAGCGAATATTCAAAGCAATTTTAGAAGTGCACAAAGAAGTTATACGAAGTAAGTAATTACGGAAAAAAAATTTAAAAATATCGAAAGAAAATATAAGAAAAGAACTACTTTCTGTGCTCAGGCGAGTAACGTTTTGTACAATTACGCGCACTATATGTACGCATTTATATGAAAATAGCATTGCAGTAAACATTTTTACTTTAAATTGCAAAAGCAGGTTTTATATGAAATAATTGGGGAAAAAAAACTATACAATCTATACACAATTAAACATCTTGAAAAAAAAAACAAATTAGAAAGTTATATTCGGCGTTGCCAAATCTCGCTTACCTGTCACTAGGTTTTTCGCATTCTACTCTCCAAGTTCTTTTATTTGATACCCAAATCGCTACCATTATTAAGAAAAAAGTAATTGCGTTGTCTACCATATTCATTTTAAAATTAAACCATTTTTAGGCAGATAGTATGTCTTCATTTGAGGAGTGTACAAAATAATTGTAAAAATTCTGTCCTGTTTGCCCTGTGATAAATAAGAATAAAACCTCAAAAAATTTTAAAAAAATGGGATTTACTTACTTTGTAGGGGCGTGGCCGATTGGTTCTATTTGCGGTCCTAAAGAGTAGACTGTTTCGTAAAGTCTACAAGCTTGAACAAACTAGTTATTTAATAAGAAATTCATTGAGAAACTTTAAGTTTCCTTTTTAGGATAGATGTAAAAGGATTGTGTGTGTTTTGCATGAAATCGAACCAATCGCAAAACTGCTCGTAATTGTCAGCCAAAACTGATCTGTGTCAGCCTTTAGCTACAATTTAATGCATAACATAATAATTATGTTCCCCTTAAAGCAATTTTTCCCAAATACATTTATACAACAAATCCAAATAATTCGGTAAACTAAAGCAAGTGAATTTGCTATAAAACTATTCCGGAATTGGCTCCTAAGGCTTATTGGTTGTCTGTTAGGTATTTCTCTAGTTAATAAATATTTGTTGAATCTAAAATATATAAAACTGTATTAAAAAATCATCATTTGTATAACCGTAAATTTTAAATATCCCACGAAAAAACCTCTTAAACTTCTGCTACTATATGTGAAAAGCTTTTTACCGACGTTGACAAGTTTTGGACTCTGTGCACCTTACCGATATCAATGCTCATATTGCCATCCATACCATTATGAACAATTGACTTTAATTTCGTCATCAAGATCATAATCGGTATCCTAAAAAGCCACACCTAATTAGGTTGAAATAACATTTTATAACAAGTACTACAACCTGTGTAGCATACATACTTACTTTGCCATTCGCATTCACAAAGCAGTCTCTCACCACATAGGAACAAAGACAGAATTTCGTTATATTAAGTTGAAAGATATTTTATATCTTAAACTAGCGATAGTGTTAATAGGAAAACTCGGAATTATTCCGTAAAAAGCGCTAGCAAATATCTGCGCATGCCGTATAAAGTATTGTTTTGATCTGATCCATTTTTTTTTTTTAACATAAGAATATCTAGATCTAGAACAATTGCTGAGAGCAGATCCCTACTACACGTCAAAAACTAGAAACCAAAACCGAATATATGCAAACTACTATCATTTGTTTGTTAGAATTAAACAAGATACTTACCCAAGTCGATCATCCTGCACATCCGTTCCTTTACGTACATTTATTGTTCAGCATTGATTTCCCAATCGAATGCAAAGAAAGGGGCGTGCGCGGCGTATATTACATCATTTATCTTCATTTATTTTTTAAAAATCCTTTTTAATTACAAACACAATTATCGGAAAAAACGAATTTGCATGCACTCCTGCACATCTCGGCATTTTACAATAACAATAAAAGGCTTCTAAACAAAAGAGGAAAATAATTTCAAAAGTGTAAAGACGTAGATCTTACAGCAAGAAACTCTTATAATGTGTAAACAATACAATGTTAATGTTAATGCATTCGCGTCAGGTCTTCGACAATTTTAATAACATCATCAACTTCTGCATCTTTCTTTTCCCCATTCATGGTAACCTGAAGAAATAAACATAAGAAAAGAATCTGAGCACTAAACTAAAGGAATATTAAAATTTATTACCTCAAGACCTAAAACGCATTCTTTCATTTTTTCGCGATTTAAGTCCAGAAAACTTTCTATTAAATCACCATCAATGAAACCCTCACATGGTTCAAACTTTTGACTAGTGTGGAAGCTACGATAATATGAATGATCTATTTTGCCCACCGATTTTATGACATTTGTAAGTCTTTCTTCGAGACTGTGTAAAAAATCATAAAAGTCTTGAGGTATCTGCGTTACAATGCCAATAGCACCGTTCACGGTCCCGAAAAGAACGCAGCCTTGATTTGGTGTAGTGCGTTCTCCAACATTTTGCATAACCAAGGAATCGTGACGAAAAACGTTTACCTTATCTCCCAAATGAAAACGGGCCACTTCGGGTAATAATTGGCGCTCGTCGTCGGTTGTGGCGGCACTATACATTTTTTTTAAAAGATTAACTAAGTATGCCACAGAGTGGATGAGATTTGCAATCATTTCACCTGTCTTTTTGACAAACAAATAAATTGCCATTATCTTCGCAACCTAAGAAAGTGTCATCATCAAGTATTTCTATGGCTCTCATCCATTTCGGATCGCTATCCCGAGCAATTTCCACGAAAATACCTTCCATCTGTTTGTGTTGTAATAAAGTCAATGAACGCATTAAATCGCCCACCAATATAAAGTCACCTAAGATACAAATTAACTTTACAAATAAATCACATAACTGCAAATAAACCTAAACACAAACCTTTCGCTTTTAAATATAACACTGTTATATTGTTTTTTATGTTGCATTCCATGCGTAATTCTTTTTCATTAGTCCATTCATACAAACGTACAAAACTATTAATTCCAGCCAACACTTTCCCATTAAATTCTACCAGAGAAATGGACGAGCCGTCAATTTTTGTTTCAGCGACTTGAATTAGTTTACCATCATGATAATGGAATATAATGATACGACCAATGTTTGGCTCGGGTTCGTCGGCGTAAACCAAAGCGGTGCAAACGACATAGTACGTGTTGGGATCCTCTCCCAGGGTAGCCGACATTAGAGATATGATATTTTCTGAGGGCATAAATTGATGAGCATGCAACACTTCAAAAGTATTTTGATCAATTATCAAGAGATTATTCATTTCTAGCTCTTGACCGATTTCCGCACTTGTCGTTGACGTATTACCGCTACCTGGTTTCGGCACGATATTCGAAGCATAAGTGATATTCTGGGCTTGCGTAGAAGCACTTGGCCGTGTTGGTTTCGGTCCACTTCGGCCTTGGACATCAATGCGTACTGTCGCCACCGCAAAGGTCTTGGAACTTTCCTGATAAGCTATGCGCCTGGGTCCCTCTCCCAGGGGAACGGTACGTATATGCAATTTTTGTATTTCATCAATTGTGCCTAAGATTACAGAGTTTTTTGTTGCTAAAGCCAAACTGTCGGGGTAAGCCTGGGCGTTCAATGAACACATATGATTGACTTCCTTTAGATTGACATTGGAAAAGACAAGCTTATGATTTGACGAATAAATAACTGTGGGTCTGTCTGAGCATGCAAACACGTTAGTGGTTGCGAACGATTTAAATGTACGCAAAGTGGTCGGTTGGGTGCCCAAAGTTACCTTCTTTTTATCACTCAAAATGCCCGTCTCCTTATTAAGTATAAAATAGAACATGGAACCGTCACCGAGGGCGCATAGCAAGTAATGAATTCCTTCAAAAGTAGTCATTAAAATCGATCGAGGGATAATTTCTCCACCTAATTTTTCCGTGTGATAAACATCTAGATTTGGCAATGCTAAAATTACTGCCGATATATCAGTCCATAAGCCTGCAGCCACAAAATCTGAACGGGGTTTTCCATCATCCAAGGGTGTAATGTCTAAGCAAGCTACTTCATACTCTAAAACCGTTTGGTGTTGTTGTATCAATTTACCATCTTCAATTTCAATATAATAAACATCGCAAGCCGAAGCAACTACTATTTGCGTGGAATTACACGATACTACACCAATTCGTTTACCTTTTGGCGGCTGCCATTCAAATACTAAATTCTTAGACGTGCTTTTAATTAAGCGCACCGTTAATGGTGTCACTTGGACAATCTGGAAATTGTTTTCTAATAAGCTAAGCAATTAACATGAATTCTATTATAAAAATACCTGATCAAAGTCCACATTAGCGCAATGAAAAGTCTGCTGATCGCTTAAGAAGCCGGGTATATCTGTTTCTTCGACTTCTTCTCCTGTTAAAGTTAAAATTCTAGTATGACCTACAAAAGCTAGGACCAAAGTATTTTCATAAATGCTGTCATCGATTCCCACCTTCAGAGACCACATTCCTTTAATTCCAGGTAAATCAATACAAGCATGCTCTTGTATACCAATACCAATTCTGCGGTATCAAGGAAATTCAATCATTTACAGAATTGTCAACTTGTCTCAAATCAAAAATATAGTACCTAATAATTCTAAGTGAACCGTCTTTAAAACTTCCAGAACAAGTTATAATTTGCCCTTGACCTTGGCGATCCAAATCGACCACACTCAGATCCAGAATGGGTCCAAGATTTGTGAAATTTTCCATTGGAATAACATATGAGCCATTCTCATTAGCTGTCGTACTTAAGCGTACCAATTGGGAGTCTCCATGTTTCGATCCAATAAAGAGAAACCCGTTATCTAAATATGTTATACATTCGGGTATGGAAATTTCACCTGCAGCACATGAAAACAAGTTTCTAAAGTCATTCTCGTTAGTTAATGCTATAAGCCTACCCAATAATTCTACTTTAATTTCCCGAACTGAGGCGCCTCCTTTGCCGTTATCATTTGTTTCCAAGAATAACATGAACAGCTGACCATACATATTGCCCAAGAGATACCGTTGACCCTTACTGTCCACACGCGCATAACAATTTATGGTACTTTGCTATTTTACAAAAAGAATAATTCTCGACTATATATGTATATAAATAATAGGGCAAAAAAATTACCTTAAATGTAGAAGGAGCAACAGCGTGGTAACTATTGCCGTCATGATAAACAATTGACTCGCGCCCGATGACAATGGCGCCACCTAAAGTGGATTATTTGTAATATATGCAATAACAATTTTTCTTGTTACATATTTACCTAGAGGAGTTGGTACCGGTATTAACATGGTAGCTTCGGTTTCAACATTGTCTTGTTTCCAAGCAATTTTTGTGAATTCCTTTTCGCGCAAGTTAATTTCATGAGTTTTGACATGACGACCATCATTATCTTTGTGTATAACGATTATCGTAGGATTGATGCATCCGTACAAAAATTCGACATCATACACATTCAATTCATCCATTCTGAAAGTGAAATGAATTTTAGTCAATTTCAATTTTTGCGAGCTAATATTCTGTGAGTTGGTCCTCATTCAAGAAAGGTACCTTAAATTTGTGGCCTTTAGTTCGCTAGTATCTTTATCAAGCGGAATAATTGTAAAAAGTCCCATGTACAAACACATGCCTATCACCCGGGCTTTAGGATCAATGACAGCTATGAAACCACCCTCCGTAGGTGGGCTGTACTGATGCGAAACGTTGCCATGAGCTTTGGTTATGACGCTGATTTGATCGCCTAACATGCGACATTCTAAGATCATGACATTGTAGCGATGTGTCAATATGAACAATAAATCCTTTTTACTATCCTGCAACGCAATCATAGAATTAAAAATTTGCGATTGCTTTAAAAAATTCTAGAAAACCTGTGGACGAAAATGCTTCATAACTGCAATTACACCGTTTATGTTGACTTCTTTAAGAGGCCGCAAGCCTTCCGGCGTGACTAAATCAATTTCCAATTGACTATTGCGGGCAATAATCAAATTAAGGTCCGTTGGCGAAGTAAAATTACCTACAAGTACAAAATATTGCAAATTTTCTCGGATGACATTATTGAGAATTTTGCGAAATTCAACGTAAAGTTCAAAATTTGTTTTCCGACACGCTTAAATCCCGAATTTTAATTGGCTTTACTCACCAGTAACACAAGCTACCACAGCTGTGGGTTTTTGAGCGGTTACCACATAATGATATTGCGACATTTCGTTAGGACGCATCGATTCTCACCTTACGATTTCCAAATGTTTACTAAAAAAAAATTATAAATGTCTAAATTAAATTGTTTTCTTTTACAAAAGTCAAGAAATCCTTTCTGTCTTTTGCTCTACCGCGGATTAATTATTTTGACGCCACAGGGCGAATTATGCTATCATATTTTGATGTTCTGCTGAATTATTTTGTTACAACAGGGTAAACCACGTTCAATTGTGTTGATGCTCATAAATCGAAAATCTTAAAGCGGTATATAACAGTAAAGCATAATCACAAGGTTGCATTATGTATTCGATAGAGTCATAAAACTTCCTATAAGGATAATTGCTTTTTCTTGCAGAGTTGTAAAATCACGTTAATTTGGTTATTATTTTTTCGGTATTTTTATTTTCACATCGATCAAACAATGAACACAAATCATAACTCAATCCAAAACTTTATGTCAATTTTGTTGAGAAAATGATTAATTTTCATATTTACGCTACTTTAGTGGTTATAATACAAATATGAAAAATTGAGAGGTCTCACTTCAGTCAATATTAAAAACGGGAGAGTCTGTTTAGTCCAAAACAGTAAAATTTTAAAGGGCGGAGTTCTAGTGATGTCGTGCAAGTTGTAAGGATGAACATCGCACGTCGACCAAATTAGTGACTATGTCAAAAATGAAGAAACGAACCCACAAAATGGTATTAGACGCTGGCCGACCAAAAGTGGGCGAGCCACCAAGCACGATAGCCAATTAAGACGAGCCCAGTGCTGTGTAACAAGAAGTTAGGTTAAGAAGTAGAAATTTAATGCTTTCCTTAATCGATTAACAAGATTACAAAATTAATGCAATCCACTCAAAAATACGTCTACATTGAACTAAGAGCTGAAACGTTGGCATTTTTGACAATTTTTGTTATTTATTTATGGTCCTGGATATAGTAACTCAAACATGTTCGAATATTCGTTGCTCTCTTTTTTTTTAATAAATGCTATCATATCCTTAATGTAGTAAAAGATAAAATATAAATTTTGTATTTATTGTTGTTCTTCTTGTTTATTTCGAGGCAAAGGTTTAACGCGTTCACGTAGTGTTATCATAAAAAATAGCGGGGTATCCTTAGCGTGCCAGTTTTAAACATTCGATCAATATTAACCAGATCACGCTTTAATTCAATAGCCCTGCCTAGATAAGCGTTCAACAGACTGCGTATCAACTGCCGTTTCTGGTTATAATATTTTTGTGCAAATTTATGGAAAGTAAATATCGTACCTTATGATTAAAAACAAGAATTAAAGATTGGAAATGCGTGTAGATGATTAAAAACGCAAGACTTCCAGGATCTGGTGAATCCGTAATAGATGAAAATGTCCTGTTTTTTATTTTAAGTTATAGAGAGTTAAGTAAATTAAATTCTTGAAGAAGATCAGCTAATAGTCAATAAAAATTGATTCTTTTCTCGTACAATATGAGAAAGTGTTGGTAATGAAGAATTGAGACTGTCTTTATTCGCAGAAATTCTTGGTTGCTATTTTCCTCTTCTACATATTTTACAGCTACTCGCATTCCTTATGGAGTGTTAAGCGTATATTGCTTGGAAAATCTCAATGCTCCACACTCCAAAGAAATTCCTGAGCTTCCAATCAAATATACGCCTATCTAGTCGTAGTGGTGCCAAATAATAATCTAGTTATGCTCAGACATTGGTGGCACTAAGTTGAAAGCATTAAAAACTCCATCAAGTCTTAATGTGTTATTACAAGAAAGACAATCATTATTAAGCGGCAGAAAAGATGGAAGCCTTCAAACCACCTACTCTACTAAGCTTGGTTGATTACGAGAAACTTATCAAAACAATTAGCAAACGTTATCACTATGTATGAAGAAGGATCTTCAAGCGAACCCATTAACGAATTTTAAGAATTATTCATACCAAGCTTATGTAGTGCAATTCCTGTGAATATAATTTAAAAAAAACTTGTTCAAAAGATGGGAGAAGAGCCTTTTGTGGTTTATAATGAGATATTAAAACAAATAAATGAATGCAGTCGAAGATATGTTCCTTCCTGTAGGATTTTTATACTTTATAATTTTATTATTCTTTATATGTAGGCATACTCGCTTGCGACACTTGCATGTTTAGATGATTCAGAGCTTATATAAGTATACGCCCATATAATAGTTTCGTCACTTTATATCAAAACCTTTTAACGGAACTGTAAATTTGAAATGCGTAGCCCTATACATTCCTTACCTATTTGGCTGACTTCACAAACATTGCATAGTTTGTTTTTGAACTGGGGATCATACGAAGAACAGCAAAAAGGACAGATGATTTCGGGCTGCTTACCTCTATATAAAGGTTTATAACTAATGCCACAAATATTAAATGGATTAAACTCTTCATATTGTAATTGGTACTCATCGACGAGATTAACTTCACAAGCTTGCAATATTTTGCGCACTTGTTGTGCAACCTCCGGGCGCGGACCTAATTCTAACAATCTGCGAGCGAAAGAAGCGGTGGTCTTGTAATTTTTCAGCTTGAAAAACATATTTAAGGCGGTACGCAATGTGAGAATTTGATGCACTGGTTGAAGCTTACAGTGTGTGAAATAAGCGGCCATTTCGCATAATCTCTTTTGTGCTTCTAATGAAGATTTGGGCAGACTTTTTCGAGCCGTTTCCATTTTTAGTCCAAGAATGTATTCGGAGCATATTTTTAATAATTGCTGAGCTTCCGCGATATCTTGTCTAGTGTCAACGACTAACAGAGGAATGCTTATTAAAATCAAATGAAATTTTTCAATTGCTTCCGAGAATTTGCCGGCGGTTGTCAGTTGATATCCCGTTTGTAAACGTTGAACCAAATCATTTAGTTTAATACCCAGAGCAGGACGCTGTTGTTTTATGTTATTCTCAGTAGGATTTCTTAAAGGATGGGCAAAAAGAGGCAAACAATTTGGAATTGCTGTGAAGCTGGTCCTTGCGCATGTATAATTTTGCATGAATAAAGCTTTAAAAGGCTGAAAATTAATAACGCCAATTTGATCATGCAATAGACGAAAGGAAGATTCAAAAGATCCCGCTTTGATGTGGTCCAATACTAAAGGTGAATTATTAGACCAATGTTGAGCGGCCGAAATGCCTTTATTTGGTGCCGCGTAATAGCAATTATCCAGAGCTGATGCTTTAATTTTGGATGCCAATTCTTCCGGAACGACCACATCATCATCACCTACATCCCAACCGGCGATAGCATCGTCTGGACCATCAGCATCCGGCTCAGTATCAATAGCGTCGTGCATTTCGTCATTGCCGTCATCTTCCATACCTAAATCAGCATCAGCCCCCCATCCATCGCCTCCGCCAACATCTAAAGCTCCATCAGCATTAACATTCAAGGCTTGTCGAGCAGTTGCACTAGTGGCTGCACGTGTTATCATAGCACCCTCAAAGAAACCTCTCGATATACTTAACAAAGGCCAGTTACTCTCAACGTGCTGTATCGGAACAGGTGGGTTGAGCAAGATTGCATTAGGGTTAATTTCAGGTAACACATTTCCCTCTTGTGTAATAATTTCTTGTAAGGCTGAAGACTGTTCATCTAGGCCATGCGTAGCAGCTGTAAGATATGCTAGCGACATTTGTCCACAGTTTTTTAAAATGTTGACGCGCTCTTTGACATCGCCCAAAAGTAAGGCGCCTTGATATTGGGCTGACACATCTTTTCGAATTTCAGCAATTTTATTCATTTTCTTCAGTTTTTCCAAATTGCCAGTAATAAGATAAAGAAAACTCAGCTTGTCGAAGTTCTTGGTACGTTGATAACACATTTCGACAATCTGATGATTTCCTTGTAAAAGAGCCACTTGCCCCAGTCGATCCCAACAATCTTTATCGTCCAGGGCTTTTGCAGCTTCTAAGGCTATATCAATGTTGCCACATTCCAACGCCAATCCGAATCGGGTCTTTTCATCTTTCACGAAGTGAAGAGCTACTTCAGGATAACCTTTCTGCTGTAGATACGCTATAATACTTTGACCGACCAATCGTGCATTACGCACCATATGCAGAACTTCATCATATTTGCGATTGATTAATGCCAATTTGAATCTGTACTCCGTGGGATCAATGTGAAGCACTCGGGTACGGCATTCCCTATCTAAACAAAATACTTGATTGCCTTTAACACGCGTTAAATAAATTGGCAAATCAAGAGTGCGGATAATGCCATGATCACCATTCGTAATGGCGTATTTGATGTGATTGCTTGTCGTATATATGAAAACACCAGAATCGTCCCAAGCGCCAGATTTTACACGACAGTTTTCTTGTATTGTACACAGATACTGCAGACGTCGATCACAAATAGTAACAGAATGCTTACAGAGGAGAGCGACGAGTGACATATCAGAAGACCACACGACATACCGACATTTAGCTAGTTTAATGCATCCCACTGATACAAGACGTTGGACTTCATACAATGTTACATATTCGGGATCACGAATAAGCAACATTCCCGTGCCTGCATAAAATATTTCCTCACAAAACGTGGGAATTTTTTTAGTAACCTCGTTTTTGAAGTTTTTTATTACGAGCTGTTGATTTCGATCAAGCACTGCGAAGCGATTGCGAGCTACCCAAATTGCGGTGATGCCCGACGAACGTTTGCTGTCATTTTCATTTTGAGATTCAGCATCCTTGGGTATTTGGCATAAGTCGTACGTACTATTTTCCAAATTGCGACTACATACAAGAACAGCATTCAATGCCGGATTAAAAGATATACTATGTACTGGAGGTTTACCACCACCTCGCAATTGCATCACAACAGTATCTTTAGTTGTGGTGAAATCAAGTTTGCGCAAGAAACGGTCCTTCACATAATACAAAATATTTCCATGTACACCGTAGGCTGGCCGTTCTCGTTCTAATTTAAATACAACCATACCTGCAAAGACACATGAGAAATTCTCAATGACCATGGTTTTTGAAAAACGATTCGAAAGTCAATATTACCTCCATCATGGCCAGCAGCGAAAAGGTTTAGCGTAGGATGCGCAGTCAATATCCAGAATCTTTCTCCATCACGACGGAACGTAAACAAGCATTGTCTTTTGGTCATATCCCACACACGTATGCTGCGATCCTCTCCATTGGACAAAATTAGATCCTGCCGTGGATGGAACAGTACGCAAGAAACATTATTATAGTGGCCACGACAAGTGTCAACTTCCCACGCCTTGTATTCATTCATCCGCCATAACTTAACTAAACGATCATCCGCTCCGGACACAATAAGAGGTAAAGTCGGATGAAAATTAGCCCAGTTAACACCGCGATCATGACCCTCAAGAACATGTTTTACCACGGCATCAGCTTGCCCAAACAGATCCGTAGTTCCAGGATGTCCCTTGAGATGCTCTTCTAACCCTCCGGGGCCAGGAGCCACATTTTTCTTGCGTAGCCCCGAAATGTCCCAAACTCTTACTGTTTGATCCAGGGAAGCTGATACGATTTGATCTTCCGTAGGATGGAACTGAGCGCACATTACATAGTGGTTATGTCCAGTAAGAACACAAATGCAGTTTCGTGATTGCCAGTTCCAGATGCGAATTGTCTGGTCATCAGATGCGCTAAGTATCCATGGGTACTCATGATGGAAGGCAACCGTCCGAACATAATCCAAGTGAGCTAGCAGAGTGAAAATGCATCGCCTTTGCTTATAATTCCATACTTTAATTTTGTAATCGTCCCCTCCTGATACAAACAGGGGCATCTGATGATGAAATGCTACACTACGAACTGGGCCATCATGCTCATCAAATTTTTCAAGCAAAGTATGCATTCGATAGTCCCATAGCTGAATAACACCGCTGTGTAAGCTTGTCAAAATCCATGGGCGCTTAGGATGAAAAGACAACCCCTTAACACGCGCAGACTTAGACTCGAAATTCGTTAGCATATTAAATAAGGTCCGCTTATTAATACTTCGTCAGGATTATTATTTAATTCCTTAATTTTTCCTTTATATTGCAACTGAATTCTTTTCACTGAAGTTTTTTTATAAATGCAAAATTCACTTCCACGTCAATGATATATAATACAAAATATCGTAAAATGAAATCAGACAAGAAGAAGCACATAACCGTCAGATAGCGTATCTCGACAAACCGTATTTTTTTTTTCTGTTTACTTTTTACAGACTTTGTTTTTATACGATACTTGTTTCATCTTTAGTCAACACATTTTACATTACATATATATAAACTTGTCTATGTACACGCCTTGTACAATAAAAGTACGCATTCGACACTATCATAGAATGAAAATATGCTAGATATCCTTCAAATTGAACAACTTATAAGAACGAAACCAATTAGTAAAATGCTCCGTTCTAGCTCGCAAAAATAACTGGCAGCACAGCTGCAATGCTTACCAATCTACTTTAAGGGGGTTCACACAATGAAGCTGCGCTTATATACTCACGTCAAAGTGAGAAATTAATTTATTAATTATTAATATATGAATTAAATTTATCGCCCCGGTTCGGAAATATTAAACGTAGCCTAAATGTGTTTTCACCTTACGACTAAGCCTAAATTAAAAATATACGTTTGCGTTTAATTTGCACAATATTTAAGTAAATGAAAATTAAAAAACCGGCTGAGAGTTTTGTTCGTATTTTATTTGCTTCAGAATTTATATTAATTGTAGTAACATAGAATGGTGTAGTGTTAGGATTTTGTATTTTTCTTTTTATTTTATTAATTAATTGTTTTATTTAATTAATTAGTGATAGCGCACTGGGAATAAAAAACCCTTTTCTCAAAAGAAATGTTACAGTTTTCTAAAAGAAAGTTTCATCGGTTCACAAAACATTTGGCAAGCCAGATGCTCAAGATGTTAAATTTAAGGATACATTCGTCAACTCTATTTATAATAAAAACAATATCACTGGCAATATTGGTAACTTGAGTATGTGTATGTAAAAGTGAAAAGAAAAAATTTTGCTAAACGACGACGAAGTCAAGTTTGTCAAATTTCACATCGGTTTTCTTCATTGAAAGGAAAAAAGAAATACTTGAAAAGTCTTTAATTGTTAAAAAGAAATCCTGAACGCTTTACCAACCGGGACTGACAGAATTTTTGCTGTTTTTTCTAAACATGGCGCGTTTAACTAACGTATATAGAACGGAAGAACTCCGTTATGTGAACATCGGCAAAAGGCAACTTCCAGTTAACGCAGGAGATGATAATCTAATGGTGAGATTTTACGTAAAATTCATCATAATTCTGTAGTTATCATCAAGACAAGGAGATTAGCAAAATGATCGAAAAGTTATTTAAAAAGTCTATTTAATACGCATTATTATCGATATAATTACGTACATATATATATGTGTGAAAAGCATCGTGCACTGTTTCAAGTTAAAGAAGGGAATAATTTGATGTTGCCATTATCGCTTATATATGCTCTCGAAAGAAATAATTCTTATTGAAAGTGTTGGTCTTTTTATCGACAAAAATTATATATATCTTATCCATAGTTTAAATTACTATAACAAATATATGCCTTGACCATAAAACACCATTAAATGCAATGGCAGCAGTGCGAACGCGAGTAACGCCTACAGTAACATAATTTTTCATTGCATTAAGGGAAAATTAATTAATAGGAAATTTTCCTTTTATTGTAGCTCCTGTTAATTATTATTATAAGTTAATCGTCAAATATCTACAATTGAAAAATATTATAACGACTTATCTTCTATTCAGAGGCCTTTGGAAAACAGGTTTACAAAACAAATGTAATTACAGCATAGACAATATGTTAAAATATTGTTTTTAATCAAAGTTTTCTGCAGCGCCACTTGCGACTCTGCTTCTCACGTCTTCCCAAAATGAAAACTAATGTATTTATTAAACAAATGCATTTATGGCATTTTCATCTGATATACGAAGTTCAAGCGTAATTTGCCCACTTTTTCATCTAGAATATGGATGACTTTCTAGTCAATTTCCTTTCCATATTATTTCTCATATTTGCTTCGAGTCGCGTTTAGCTACTATATGAAGATGCACGCTGTGTTCTATGCGTGAAGCAGCCGGGCACTGATGATTAAACATTGTGAACATTTTAATGTTTTAATCCGATCAGAGTTTTCGTTGTTTGATAGATAATTCATTATCTATTTTTCTTCTAGTTTGCTATCAGATGACGTGTTAACATTTTTATGCTTTTCTAATGAAGGCGTCGTGTTTGGTAAGGAATTGAAATAAGTGCAGTCGCTGAGGTCGGATTGTGGATAATTAACAGGATTGTTAGGCAATTGATTGACAATACCATTCAATGAGGTAGAGAAGATTTCAATTTTTGCTCGACGATTTCATTCATTACCCCGGTCCAAATATACCGCTTTGTTACCTTCTTCATATTCCACCGACATCACAACTGTGTCTTAAATATCGTCCACTTAATTCCTAATGAATATAACGACGACCTTCTTAAGAGGAGAGTACAATCAATAAAGAAGCTACTACTATTACTGTGCTACTGCCTTACGTGGGTTAGTGTAAGAAATTTTATTATTCTGGAAGATCAAAAAGGAATTTTTTTTAGACATAAGGAATAAATCGAATCATAAACTGAATGTCCGAAAAAACGAAAACAAGGAGTCGCCAGTCATTGTTTTGCTCGTGAATTAATTAGTTAAGGGTTAAGTATGGGACTGTATTTGAACATGACAAGGTATTCTAAAGCTTTGAAATGGGGCGAGCAAATGCACTCTTAAGTTCTGTTATACGTATGCATTTCTTCATTGATTTATGTAACTTTTTTTGCAGATGTTAATGGATCTGAATAGTAAAGGTCTTTGCATTGATTGTCCTCATATACGTGGAAAAGAATTGGAAGAGTTTACACGTAAATTTAATTTGCTTACAAACGAAGAATTGCGTCAATCATTGGAAATTAACAGCACCACTTTCGTATCGGTTTTAAACCAAAGTGTTCAATGTGTTGGTTGTCGTAGACGGGTGGAACGGCTCTTCTATCAATTGACGCTTTCCGGACATCCCACTCTAGATCCACTGATTTTGAAAAATTCGTGCATTTTAACTGTAACTGATGAGAAAATGAAAACTCCTCAAGCTCTGGGCACCTTACTGTACCGTCACCATGAGATTCTGAATAATCTGCTGGAGAGTAAATTGCGTAACAAGACGCGTTGTGCACTGCACTCATTGGATGCGTTTCGATCGAAACCATTTTCGGAGTCTTGGCGGGAAGTTTGGTCATCGATGAAACATAATTGCCGTGATGAGTTAGCAGTAATAGAGACTAAGGAATTGCATGAAGTGTTGGATAATTACTTGAAAAAGCACAAATTCTGCACTGGCTGTCGTACTAAAGTAGGTTTTTTTTTGTAATGTTTGGTCATGTTTTCATTTATAAACCTCAACACGCAGATCGAGAAGGCCTACAAGATTTTAGTGGGTGAAACACGGACGAAAGAGAAAGGCTATGTAGCTGCTCTTTACTCAAACATAAAAAGATGCCAACCCGAAAAGCATATACATGTGTTTACGAATAAAATTGATTTTCTTGATGCTCTCATAAGGCGAGCTGAACCTGAAGTCAATGGCAGGTAAGCTTGTAAGATTTAGATAGTATCTTCAAGAGGTTTATAAATAAGTTTAAGCGTAATTCGTCCAATTCACAGTTATTCAAAGTTACGTGAACGTCATGCTAAGACATTGGAAATTGCTCAAGAGGAAGTGTTGACCTGTGTAGGCATGATTATGTATGAAAGACTACGTCGGGCTTATGTTAGTCTGCGTGAAGAAGAGCGAGCTTGTCAACTTCTAGCGGCTGTGGGCGTTCATGCGCTCTGCCGTAGTTTTGATATGTTTGTGGAAAAAAAACAAGGAATCAGTAATTTAGAGCTGCTTTATCAAGAGATTAGTCGAGCTGAAAAAGCTAAAGAGCATAAACGCGAGCAAAAGAAACTGAAGAAAAAGAAGAAGAAGAATGAGAAAAAGAATTCCCATCGTTTATGTGAACATGCAGATGCCAATTCTGAGGAAGCACAGGAGCACAATGCCACCGATGACGAAGATGTAAATGAACTCGATGACGAGAACGTTGATGTTGAGATCGATGATGTCGATACGGCCATGGCAGATGAGGTGGAATATGATACTGAACTGGAAAAGATAAAAGACGGAAACGAAAACAATGAATTGCGCGATACGGTAGCAGGTTGTGATCAAGTGGAATCTTATCGTCATTCTTCCACACCCGGCCAACAAGTATTCGGACAGCAAAAGAAGAAGAAACAAAAGCAAAAACAGAAACAGAAAAACATCCAGAGCAAAATATCGATAAATAACAACAATGATATTACCACCAACAATAGCAACATGAAAGCGATTAAAAACGAAAAATCTCAATCGGAGCAAACAATGTCTAAGAGGCCCTCGAATCCTGTGTCAAGCATCAATTGTGACGATTGCCATTCTCCCTCCTCGGAGTGTCCTTGCGAAAGCGACGTTAAAGATTCGGGATACGGGAGTGAGCCCCTGTCCCAAGGAAACTCGTGCACTTCCAGTGTAGTTTGTTCTGCTGAAGATACGTCGGAAGGTTCCGAAGTCTCTTGTTCAGATGGTTTCTGCAACCACGAATCTAACGCTGTTGTAAATGAACTCGATGAAGACGATCATTCAATTGGGAGTCACGGTTGTACTATCACAGGTGATAGATTCAACTTTTGCATGCAGCAGAAATACTTGAATCCATTGAGTTTGCAGCAGATGTTGGTAGGTTTTGTTAATTTGCCAAATTTTTGCTTAATATAATGTAACGCATGTGGTATATACCTAACAATTTCTTTTGCTTCTAGAATGATGTCGCTGGTTACGAAGAAAATGAAGAAAGTCACATTCCCGAAGATGTGGTGCTAAAATATCAATGCCAGCGTGAAAAGGTGCAACAACAACGCCTCCAATTGCGCGAAACGTTACGTGAAAATTTCGCACGCCTTTGCATGCAACATCGACGAGCAGCCACCAGTGGTTCTAAACAATAAACATTAAATCGCTACATGACGAGCGTAAATTTTCATTATTAACAAAAAAAAAAAAAAGGAGCTGGAGAAAAATCATAATTATTGCAATGCAAACTTGAAAAGGCTACACAACAACATTAAAATGAGCGAATCGAATCCATCATGTCTGAATAAATAAATGATGAATGTAATGTGTTATTGAAGATACTTTATTCTTTGCGAATTGATCGATTTATGTTTCTTATGTTAAATATACACAAAAATGGGAAAATATGTTAAAAAAAAAAAAAAAAGAAAGTCTGTTTTGAATTTTAAAGCTTAGTTTTTGCATTCTTCATGGTAAGGCTCTAAAGTTCTTAAATCACGCCATGTTGGCGGAAGACCGTTGGCTAAGAACTTCCCGCAACGTTTGCAAGGTTCCACAAACAGTCTGCTATAACTGTGAAACCATGCCTATAAATAACGGAAAATAACTCAGCATCTCTCATATATAGGAGAAGTCAATTACCATATAACTTTTTATCGCTAAATCCGGTAAAGTAGGCGAGAAGAAATGTAACATAGCTGCTTGTGTATTTTCTTGAACTTTGCGAAAAACGGCATAGCGCGATTCAGCGAAGAGATCGTCAAAATCAATATGTTCATCAAAGCCCTTGACGGAGACCCATTCGATTAGTACCCCCTTGCAAACCAAAGCTGCTTTCAGCACATGGCTTATAGTGATCTACAAAAGGGTCAAAACCACCAAGCAGGCCACACATAGGAACAAGTACACAAAAATAAACGTTTACTCACCACAACAACTGCACTTGAACCAAATGGACGACAAACTTTGTAGGTAGTGTTTGGATGACTCATTTCACTAAATAAATTGTCCGTATGACTTTTTTGTTTTGCATGCGTAAGACAAAAGATGATGATATAGTGACATATATGAATCAAAAGTAAATTTACAATTTGTATTTACACGCGAGGGCCTTAAGATGCCATCATGACTCGGTCACACTAAATATTCCTAGACTAGAAACTGCCCACTTAATGGCGCCTGAGTAACTTCAAACCTGTGCAATGTTTGCGTTCTTTAACATTATTAAAAATCAGCTCATGATGATTTATCATTAACTAAAGTGTTAAACTATGTGATTTCAGCGACTACAACTTACAAATTTAACAATGTTGTTCTAGATACAAAAGTCAAAAAGCAAAGCAGCAATCCATTCTATTAAGAGCAAAAATATATCGGTATTAACTTGAATGCGGAATGAATTGACTGGTACGTTGACAAAGTTTACAGTGCAATCTTCACGTTTAGGTCTTAAGCCTGTAAAAATATATATCCCTTTCTCATCCAAATCCTTTAAAATTTCTTAAAACATTTTTGCTCCTTTGTCTAGCTTTAAGTCAGCACTAATAAAAAAAAAGCCAAATGGACGCGTAAAGAAGTAGTTTTTCTACCCAGTTGTGGCGTTAGATAAACTTACTCTGGATCAGGTGTATTACAAGTGGAACATTGGACACGTCCCCTTTTTTGTGAATTATAAATATATGAACGACGTAAGCTGTTCACATTCAGGTTATTGTAAGCTAACAAGCTATGATCATGCACCTATAAAGAACAAAACTGGTTTTATTCCCCTAAAAAACGAATCCGCAAGATAATACGATACTTTGTCGATCCATTTGTAGCTATTAACCAGTTGCGAATATAAGGCTTGCCGATCCTGTGTAGTTTCTTGGGCCAAATAAGTAGTATTACCCAAGTAATACGGGGCTGGTGGCACTTGCAAACTATTTATTATACCTTCCAATTCCCTGCGGAGTACGGAGTGATTGTTAACATTGATTTGACGAAATCGAACATAAAGAAATATTTTACTTTATTTGATGATTGATATCACTAAAGTTTTCCTGAAACTCTAACAAGAATTTCGCATTGTTTTCTTCATTCTGCTCTGGACTGCCATCGGCCAATTTTTCAAAGCATTGACGCACACTGGATCGGAGGTTTCTTACAGCTCCTAAAGTAAAATTCAATTTTTCCATGTTTCCAGGTATGAATGAAAAAACTTATCGTTTTTTCTTGTTTACAATGAAACAGCGTTTAAGATGTTGACGATTTCCTTATGCCCAAGCAAAAAGCACGAAAGACTGAAATAAATACAATTTCAAATGTAAATAAATAATTCCGATGGGCGTAGTTGCCAATCTGTTTTCGAAAAGTGGTCGTTTACGTTTAATGGGGGGATGAATGTAAACTTAACGAAGCAAAATCAGTAAATTTATTGCAAAGAAATTTTTGCTAGCACATTAAAAATAGAATAAAATAATAAATAGGAATAAAAATATAATTTATAAAAAGGTAAATAAATTTTTAAAATATAAGGGTTTCTCTCTCAAGGATTCACATGCTTTTTAGGAAATCAACGATGCTCCATCTGACTAGTGGACGATCCTTTTGATCCACTTGTTATTGAACAGCAGTAAAACAAAATTCCCAACACTTAAATAGACTATGAAGACAATTGGGAGCATTGCCTCTTCTTGTTGACTTTAATTGAACAGATAACAACACATAAGGAATGTCAGGACCAAATAGTATTTTGGAAATTGATGGCAAATATCTGGAAGGTGGTGGACAAATCTTAAGAAACGCCTTAAGCTTTAGTTGCATATTGTATGAAATTTTGACTTTCTCTGTTAGGAATATTTTAGATTAATTTGTACTTTATTTAAGGCGGCGACCTGTCCGCATTGTAAATATTCGTGCGAATCGCCCTAATCCTGGTTTATCTAATCAACATTTATTTGGTTTGAATTTGTTGGTGGATATTACTGGGGCTCAAGTGAAAGGCAATTCCATTAAATCCACAGAAGTAGAAATTTGCCCTGGGAAAATTAAAGCCGGAAATTATTATGTTAATACAAAAACTGCTGCCAGTATATCGCTTGTATTGCAAAGTGCCCTTCCAGTGCTTATATTTGGAGCAGCCCCTTCACAACTAGAATTAGTTGGTGGTACTAATGTGGGCATGGCGCCACAAGTAGACTTTATGACTGAGGTACTTCGTCCTAATTTGGAGAAATTTGGTGTTACATTTGATTTTGATCTAATACGACGAGGTTATTATCCGCGAGGAGGCGGCTGTTGTAAGGTACAAGTTCCAGCTATAAAATTTATTAAATCGGCTTCTGTGGTGAATTTTGGTAAATTACATGAGATTCGTGGTTGGTGTTTTGTGGCTGGCAACTTGCCAGAGCGCTTAGCCGGTGCGATGCAACAATCTGTTGCTTTAGAATTACAAAAATTGAACTGTCGGCTTTTAAATATTGAGGCCTACAAAGAATCGCCTGATGTGGCTAAAGATAATGGTTCGGGAGTTATTTTGCTTGGTTTAACGTCGGAAAATTGCACTTTAGGCGTTTCGAAACTAGGCGAAAAGAAAATTGATGCCGAGAAAATGGGTTCTGATGCTGGTCGCAATTTATGCAATCTCCTTTTAAGTGAAACCTGTGTGGATGAGTACGTTCAAGACCAACTTATTATTTACATGGCCTTAGCCAAGGGAAACTCGCAAATAAAAACCTTACCCCTGACTGATCATACACGCACTGCAATATATGTGGCCGAGAAAATGACTGGTGTGCATTTTGTTATCGAACCGCAAGGTAAGCATGTCTTATTATCCTGCACAGGAATTGGTTATGAAAACCAAAATTGAAAATTCATGTAAGAACAAAACAATATTACATGTAAATACATAAAAATGTCCAGCACATAATTATTACGTAGTTTTAATTCGTTTGAAGTGTGTAATAATCATCGTATGTGATAAAAAGTAAAAATGTTTTAGATTAGATTATTCGTCATTATATGTTGAGTGCAGCCGCTTTTGAAATTTGGAAAAATATTGGCGTTGTTTACGGTTTTCCCAACATAAATGCAGATCCAGTTTGATAATTGATGCGAATCAAGTAAGAGTTTTTCGCAATGTAAGGCGGCGGAGGGGCAGGAGAGGTAGTCGCCGCGAAGGGAGGGGGGGAGTCGCCGTAAGAGAGGGGGAAGGAGCTCACGAGGCCCCCGAACGGACAGACGTCCATACAACACACTATAATTTGTAAGCACTACTATTCATAATTTTTAATACACACATACCGTATAGAAAAAAATGCTTTTATAAAGAAGATCCCTATAGAGATTCGAATAGCTGTTGTGGTATAGGTTATTCGTAATTGCTCTTACTCAGTTGCTTGTCAGCCCCTACGTACCGCATTGGTAACAAATACAATCCTTCGGCAAGTATCCCATAATTTCACATTACAATTGCGATTACTGTCGTTAGTTACTTAATGAGTCGATAAATAATGTAATTGCCACTACAACGGTGGCCATTACAATATTTTTTTTTTTTTTTTTGGTATGTTGAATGGAGATAGACCAAACCAATAGATTTGTGGCTTACATGTCCAGATAATAAACTGTCGTAATTTTTGGTCACAATTATGTACAAAACGTAACAAAAAAAAGAGCGGCCGGAATAACTGGAGCCAGCATGTTAAGTGTAATTGTGTGTGTGTAATTGTGCTTGTTGTTTTCTTGAAAGTCAAGCAGTCCATTACAATAATGAACGAAAAAATTTTTACTTAGCTCCGAGCGTTATTCAAAGAAATAAACATAAATTGATAAATGAGAAATCAATGAAAAAAAAAACAGATAAATGAGAAATCAATGAAGAAAAAAAAGATAAGAAATTGATTATAAATGAAGAGAAATGAACCTGGGCACGCCCAAATTTGTTTGTTTGTAAATTGATAACGAACCTGGGCACGACTATGTATCAAAGGTAGTCTCTTCTTCAATTGGAGATTTTGTGAACGTTTTTTTAACTATTTCTATTTTTTGGCAACACTAGACATTTTTTTAGAACTTCTTCACGTGTTTAACTAAAGTAAATTTTGTAAATTAATGAAGCATGGCATTAAAGCGTTTAAAAAGTAAATATTTTAATTTGCAAAGTCAAAAAGGAACTTTAATTTATTATTGTTTGGATACATTTACTTAGCGAAGAAATCGAAAAGGATAACGGGCCGTTTGAAGCATAAAATTGAAAAAAAGGTTCGTGAGCACAACAGAAAAGTGCGTCGTGAAGCTAAAAAGAATCCCATCAAGAAAGGAAGCAAAAAGCAGAAACTCATTCAAATTCCCAACATTTGTCCATTCAAAGAGGACATACTTAAAGAAGTCGAAGAAGCTAAAAAGCGCAAGGAAGAAGAGCGGAAGAGAAAACGGGAGGAATTTAAAAGGGAGAAAGAACAGCATAAATTTAAGAGCTTGGAAGCTTTAGTAAATAACGCGGATGAACGAGACACAGTATATTCAATAATACACGAAAATGAAACAAAGGAAGGAGAGGTATGTCCGATTTTAATTCTAAAATCCAGGAAATCCATGGTCTAGCACTTCATTTCATAGCTGAAAAGTTCCTTTTAAAAACTGAAATGAACATCTGCTACAATCAGCAGATGCTTAAGTGATTGTTTTGTGGGTATAATAATGACTTTAATTTCTCATTTTAACAGAATATTGACTTCGATTTCTCGTTTTAACAGAATCTTAGCATCGATTTCTCGTTTTGATATAAAAATTTTTAATTTACTTTTTACTAAACTTGCAGGAAAAATATAAAAATGTAAGCGACAAAGAGCAATCCCTAAAGCAGTACTTTAAAGAATTCAAAAAAGTTTTGGAAAATGCTGACGTTGTTCTGGAAGTTGTCGATGCTCGTGATCCCTTGGGAACTCGCTGTAGTGAAGTGCAACGTGCGGTAAGGGCGGCTCCTGGTAATAAGAGATTGGTGCTGATTCTTAATAAAGCTGATCTAGTACCGAAGGAGAATCTGAGCAATTGGTTAAAGTATTTTAGACGGCTCGGTCCAGTTACAGCGTTTAAGGCTTCAACTCAAGATCAAAACTCGAAATTAGGGCGCCGTAAGTTCAAACAAATGTGCACTGACAAAGCTATGCAGGGTTCAATATGCCTGGGAGCTGAGCTGCTTATGTCCATGCTGGGTAATTATTGTCGGAATAAGGGTATTAAAACTTCCATAAAAGTGGGTGTGGTTGGGATACCTAACGTAGGCAAAAGTTCAATTATCAACTCTTTGATTCGGGGAAAATCTTGCTCCGTTGGATCTACACCGGGTATAACAAGGTTGGTCGATAAAGAAATATTTTTTTAAAAATCTTGAAGATTCGTATTTCGTACATTAGAGCTATGCAGGAAGTAGCGCTGGACTCGAAAATCACTCTTATCGATTGCCCTGGAATCGTGTTTACTAACAATCTTAAAAGTGAGAACGTACCGGCTGTATTGAAGAACGCTCAACGTGTAGGTGATGTAAAAGATCCCTTCACTGCAGCCGAAAGTATTTTGAAACGGGCCAGCAAGGAATTTTTTTGCAAATTATATGATATCACTGAATATGAAACTTTTGAAGAATTTTTTGCGAAAAAAGCTGTGCGCATGGGTATATAGATCCAGAAGACTTCTCTTTAGACACATCACATATATTGATGTTTGATTTTTATAATAGGGAAACTCATGAAAAAGGGGGTACCTGATGTGTTGGCCGCAGCGCGTAGTATTTTGAATGATTGGAACACCGGAAAAATTAAATATTGCACTGAGCCACCTGAGGAGAAATTCGATGATCCACACGTCAGTGCAGCTATTGTTCACGAAGATGCTCTTGTATTTAACGTTGACGGTTTTGAAGCTATGGAAACTGAGATTCTTAATAAATTCGACGTGAAAGAGCAAGATGTCATGAAAGTCGATAGTACTGGACCAGTTGAAAGCAAAATCCGCGAATGTGGCGTAGAAGATGATAAGGAAGAATATAACGCCGTTATTAATGAAACGAACGTATCAAATAAGAGACGGAAAAGTAATTTAGAAGAAAACGTGGCAACTCAACAACAAGAATCCACAAAGAATTTGGAGGGTGAGTCATTGTTTTGCTTTTGAAAATATTGTAGACAAAATATTCATTTTTCGTTTCTTTCTATAGGTAATCAAACCTTGAATAAAAGTATGAAGCAACAAATGAAGAAACGCAAAAAACAAAGCGCTCGTAACGAAAAGAAAGTGAACAATATAGCTCAAGTACTAGATGGCTTCACCTTAAATGCTTCGAATGATGAAAAGTACGATTTTGATACAGATTACGTGATTGAATAAAGGACTTTTAGCGGATTTTATAAATTCTTGAGAACATACACATGGCTTTACTAGAAATATACATGACCTCATAGAACAAATGCGTATTTATTTTAAGGTTTTTAGCGAATGTTATAAATTTTTTTATAAGTAAGGAAGTGGCCAAGTTTTTAATTTGTGCAACTTCAGATAATAGTCTCCTTTTTTTGTAAACACCTGCAGCTAAGACAATTCTAAATATTTTTAATCACCGAATCAGCTGGCATGTATAAAACAACGCGCTTGTATGTGCGTTAGTATCAAATGCCTTCAAGTCGACAAATGCGCTTTAGAAACGTCCATTTCCTTCCCATGGAAATTTGTCTTTTAGACCATTCTTTAAAGAGAATGGGAGAATAGGAGAACTATATTTTTCCGACGCTGTTATTTGAAGTTTGGATGCTATCAGAGTGTTTGTAAATAAAATGGGCTAAACGAAACATGAAAATTCTTTTTTTTTTTGGCTGTGCGGATGATGGGATGTTATAAGTAAAATAAATACAGCATCCCATTGCCCTCGTAGGTTAGCATCAATGGTCCATGGATTGGATAAAGGACGACAGTTGCGAAGTATATCTAAAATTATAAAAGCAGTGGGTGACTACCACCATGTTAGGTCAGCCCGATTGTTAAATACTCTACGACAGCTAGTCCAATACACTTGTTTAAGTTCCATTTCTTGTTGGCCTGTTTCTTTTTCAATAAATCTTTTTTAATTTTTAAGGACTTACATTGTGTTTATAGATTTTGTAAAAATTTACAAACCCAAGCAAAATCGGGAAATGTCTTACAAATGCTGACTGACGTCGAATGTTATACAAATAGAAAAATCTGCAGAAAAGCCCAGAAGAAAGTACAGAATCTTCGGTCGAAACGATCCGCGCCGCGTCCATGTACACGTTGCACTTGTTGACCACAATAATTCTCATAACCAGCTAAGATAATTATGGTTGTATTTCGTCCTACATAAGAAAACAAGAACTTATGTAAAAATACAGATCCAGTGGTTAGGGATTGTATGTGCATTCAAAATTCAACTGTACTACGAAATCTGGTAACCGAAAACTTGCGACAGCGGTGTTGTAATATTGTTTTCAAAAATTAAAAACAATTTTCTACCGAATTAAAAAGCAATTTCTAAAAGTCTTGGATGTCTTACTTTATTCTGAGGCATAAAAATGTTTAATATCGTATCTAATAATTTTCGGGAATATTTGAAAAGACGCTATCGCCCGTTATATTGTATTTGGTATGGACGGCGCAAGGACACGTGGAGAAAAACTAGGTTTGCCATAAATTCTGTGGCTGGAATTCTAATCGCTTGGATAATATGCAAATTAGTCTTGATATCGTTTTCATTTTCCAAAAGAAATGAGGAACGTATTTTATGGTTGTCAATGGGTATTGTTGGTGTGTAAAACCAAAAATCAATAATTCTAAGCAAGAGCTTTTCAAAGATTACATTATTGTTATGTTAGGTCTGGGCTTTGTATTCACTGATGGCGTCAAGTGTATTACGTTATTGGTATTTGTAGCTCTTGTAGGCAAATCGGGTCGAAGTTATTTAAGGGCGCTATGTTTTGCTTACGTTATAGCAGGTAGGTTGGAAAGAAGTTTCTTCTGCAAGCCTGTTGTTGTGTGCACTATGTACATATATGTACGCTACGAGTGGAAGTTAAATGTTGGAAGCGGATTTTTTTTTAGGTCCTATTGAAAATTTAGCATCAAACGTGGGTGAGGTTGTACGTGTGTTCTCCTGTTCAACAATATTAACCTACAATTTGACTCGTACACGTTTTGATTTGATGACCAAGCCATTTCAGAGGACAGTCTATCACATGAAGGAAGATATTAAGGAAGTTCAGAATACATTCAATGATTTAAGGAATGTGACTAACGCTGTTCATCAGGAGATTATGGGAGAGGACCCGGTTACAACAACGCCGCCTTTATCACCGATTACCGTTGCTAACGTCAATCAAACATCATCAACAACAATATTTTCCAAGATGATGTTTACAACCAGTGCTCCGATAAATATTGGCCTAGAAAATGAGAGTTCGGGGAAAAACTTTAGCGCAATTGACACGGCGTTTTATACAACCTCAGATTCTCTAAACGATACTTTCCTGTTTCCTGCTACAACTTCCAAACCCGTTCAATTTACTTTAGTACCTGTGCCAGTTAACGAGAGCGATCCTTATTCAAATATAACGGCAATTATAGCTGGTTTACATTCGACTATAAAACCAATAAACACATCAGTACCGGCTTCTAGTACGGACTCTGTCCCGGTTGAATCCTCTAGTTTAAATTCAAGTGCAAGACCAATCAATATTCCCGCAACGAGTAACGACACGTCTTCGAAACCGATTCAAAACTCTTCGATTTCTGAGCCAAACAAATCTGATTCCCCTACTTCGAACTACGATGTACTTAAGCCCATCGCATCCGCTCCGTATTTACAACTTGGAAAAATATTAAAAAGCGGTAAATTTTCATTTGTTCCAAAAAAAAAAAATTACGCGCCGTACTCCCCAAAACCTATGAAGAACAAAATAGAACCATTTCGCAAGGGTAGTACAACTTTGAAACCAAGTCGTTTTTCTACAATTTTTAAAGGGCGTAATCATGCACCCTCGTTCTTAAAAGTAAAAACATTTTCATCAAATGAAGAAAATCGCCGCAAATCAGGAGGAAAGATCACAACCGAATCAATTCTCGCTACAGATAGAATTTACAGTCAAAAGCCGTTCTTATCAGTGGTAAATAAGGACAATGACGTAGATTCGTTTTTGAATCCCACTCAGTTTCCATCGTTTCTAACAGAAGATAATAATAAAATAAAACCTTTCACAACTTCGACAGATTTAGAGTTTTCCTCCCTTCCGAAAATAGTTGATGATTTGAATCCCTTCCTAAGTCCTACCCAGTTCCCTTTCTTTCTACTAAAAGATAAACCGCCAACAAGGCAAGCGAATGTTCCCGATACGACAGCGCAACCCAACATAATCTCATCAATCCCGAAAGAAAATGATGACCGAGATCAACTTGGAATTCCTCACCAATTCCATTTGTTGCCAATAAAGTGTAAGCTACCCGAAGACGAAGCAGATGCCTCGGATATACACGATGACAAGATGTCGAAATCGTTAAACATCTTTTCTCCTCCAAGAACTAATGGCGGTGGGGATTTTTTTGCAAATCCTATGTGGCTTCCTTTATTTCTTATAAAAAATAAACCCCTACAACAGATGGAAAGGGATCCGATCATGACTGTGGAAACGACTACGAAGCAAATCACATATTTCCCAGTTTCGAAAGGAAGCGATGATCTGGACTCTTTTGTAAACATAAATCAAGTACCTTCATTTCCAGCAAACGATAAAGCTATTGAAACAGAAGACCCCGTCTTAAGCGCTCAGTCTACCTCGAACGGGAGAAAATTCTCATTATTGTCTAAAGATGATGATGACTTTAATGAATTTTTAAATCCCACTCAGTTTCCTTTATTTGTTACGAAAAAAAAAACGGGAAAAAGATCGGATTCAGTTCGAGGTGCCTTGGAACCGAAGGATTTTTTTTTAAATCCCAAAAATGGACAGGGCCAGGAATCTTTCTTAAAACGAACTCATTATCTACAGCCATTAATGATCCCCGATACTTTGTCGAAACATTTTGTTAAACGAGATGTTCAATCTGATGCTGAATATTCTCAAGAGGATGATAATTATGATGACTTTTCAAATACCACTCAGTCGCCTTTGGTCCTTATGAAAGAAAAATTTGAAGAATCAGCGGGATTTGATTCAATTGCAAGTGTAGGAAGTGAATTTTCCACCCTTTCTGAAGATGAAAGTGATGTGAAGTCTTTCTCAAATCGCACTGAACCTCTGTCGAAGGGTTTTGTTGATTCAGGTCTTCTACCGAATGCTGAGTACACGCAAGAAAAGTATAAAAATAAAATGAAAAAGCGATGTATTCAACAGCTGGATAACGGTAAAGACCGCTGCCGTCAAACATTTGCCAATTCATTGCAGAGATGTCGTGATAAAATGCCATTTATATTGAAGACGCTTCTATGTTGGCCTTTCAAGGCCGATTTTATATGTAACATAAATTTCTTGGGTAATCCAGATAGTATTTGCGATCCTTCCGACGCGATTCCTAACAATTTTGGCGAAGCTTATGCGGATTTGGCCGATACTGAGAACAAACTCTATACAAACGGCTCAGATGTGTCAGTTAGCTATAAAGTGATCAGCTTGGAATCATCGCCGGAGTTACAGTGAGTACAAACGATGAATACAGTTAGTTGAAATAAACATGTTCGTCCGTGCGTCCATCGCGCTGATCATGACAAATCTTATATTTGTATAAAACTTTAAATTCATGCCTGCTATGAGTTGTAACGTTACACTTTGCTGGACTATTGTAGATTTAATTGTGAACGCCCACTTGCGCCCATTTCTAAGCTTAAAAGGCACGGTTGAATTTGCTTATGATATTATTTTGCATGAATATACTAGGATATATGAGACTCTGTGATTAAAAATATTTTAATTAGTTTGAAAAAATTGAAATTGAATTTCAGATCCGCTAAGGAAACAGCCGACGCCGTCATGCAGGAATTTAATCTTAAAAAACGCTTATTCAATGCGATTCTAAGACAACTTCAAAGGGTTCTAGCTTTTATGATATTACGAGTCTTATGGGGTAAGGTGATAGTGTGTGTAAAAAATTGCCAAAAAGTTAAAAACGAATAAATAAATTATTTATTACAGCCTGCGTACAATACCATAGCAAATACAAAAAAGACGTCGATTTCGACAACATATACGTAACTGAATATTTTAAACATGTGGACGAGAGAAGACTTAAGGAGGGCAAAAATCCATTATTGCCATTAAAAAAGGTTTCCAACCTAAGAGTGTCCCTTTATCGATAAACATGATAAGATATTTTTATTTGCAGTACGAGAGAAAGAATTTAGTTGACACTACTGAAGGATGGGGGCGCACCAAGGAAGAAAAACGAGATATTGGTTATCATTTATTTCAATTTTTTGTGGAAATATTTTCAGGATTCTTTTTTCTATTTCTTGATCATACTATCGTTGTCTTGTTGCAAATTGTGCGAGAACATTCGGAGATTCATTTCCTTCAAGAGGGGGAGCATACAATAAAATTTTATGTAAGTAAACGGTTTATATGTATTGCAGACAATACGATTAACGGTAAGACACCTACGTCATCGTTTAGTTTGTGATAGTTAGGAATATGTGTCACTTGTGTGAACTTTGGAGACAATCTTCACCTGCAGAAATCAATTAAAAATAAGTAAAAGTCTCTTTTCTGCCGGGCGATAGACGATAAACGATGGATAAGTCAAAAGTGAAGATATTTTATTTAACATCGAATATGTTGCCGGCTATTGAAAGGGGTGTGGCTCTTTACAAGACATTTAAAAATCAATAATAGTCACTTTTCTGCGAGCAAGTGAACGTAGAGGATTGATTCAAAGATCAAGGCATTCTGTTTAACATCGAAAATGTTGGCGGCTGTAGGAAGCCGTGCAGCGCTTTACATGACAGTTAAAAGAAGTGTGTGCTGACTGACGCTAGGCATAGCAAATTGACTTACAAGTTTTTGTTTAACAAACGTACTCACTTTTCTGGTACACATAGAAAATTGACTCAAACGTCAAGGTACTTTCTTTCTTTAAACATTGAATGTCTTGTCGGCCAAAGGAGGTGGTGTCATTCTTTGCTTGAGTAAAGAAGAAAAGATGTGTTCTAGAGTACTAGCTAGTCTTGACTTAGTTCTTTTTTTCTACTTCCCGAAAGATCGAAGGAAGTGGACTCATAGCAAGGCTTCTACGAACGACTATGCATAATTTTAATATGCATGAAACGGTCCATACCGAGCTTTCTAACAAACAGTGCCTGCCAAATCCAAATGTATTACCTAGCAGGTATCTATAAATATAATAAAAATTTCGGAGATTTATTTCATTTTTCTCGTAAATATCATTGACAGTTTCTACTATAAATTGTTCAGCCTGTACGCAATAATATTGATTCTTATCTATCAAAGCACGGCTTTTCTGCGCTTAAGACGTGCCACCTGTTCGTATTTCTATCGTAAACGCGAAAAAAACCGTGTTTTGTATCTATACAATACTTTGATGAAACAAAGAAGAATTTTAATTAAAACTATGATCAAAAAGGCAAAACTGAATTCAGTTAATCGACGCGTGCGCCAGCAAGCAAATTTGTTCCTGGTAACTACTCTCGATCTTTTAACGATTGCATAAAGTATTGAAGGAAAACAAAAAACCTATTTTAGAAACTTCGTTTCATGTATCCGAGGTACTTTGGATGGTTGAAAAAGTTTAAAGTTGGACGACGTAAATGTGTTATATGTGACGAATTTGAAGGTAAAGAAAATTTATTAAAATTTCAATTTGCATTCGATGCATGGGATTTTGTCTCTTTTATGAAGTTTGGAGTTCGTAAAAAATTAGGATGAACATATAACGTATGGCCGGAAAGCGATTCGCGCTCATTAAAAGTAACTGCGTTTGCACATTAACAAGCTGAAAAGTATTTGATATTTGGGACAGAATTTGTGGCAAGGGTTTAACGTGGGTTCCTGCCTGTAAGGCTTAACCCCACGGTGGCCCAAACCACTTTTTAAGCGTACTACGCCCCCTGGCGAGTTAGACAATCCCCACAGAGTAGGGGCCTAAACAGCACCAGAGTCCAGAATAGTTTATTGTGTATGGAACAATAAACCCCACTCTGGTGAATGGCGAGGCCTAGCTGCACTCAATTGTTCCATTTTAGCTAGGAACTCGCCAACCACAACCACCACGAGTACTCCCCGAAGGGCCGCACCCAGTAGTCAGGACTCAGTTGAAGTTTGGATATATAAAGTAACCGATGCATATAGGTGTAGAGATGCCTTGCCCAGGACGCCCACCGAATTGAGAACGATAGCTCTATTTAAGTGGCGGTTAATTGCAGTTCTTAATGTCCTCCACGTTTAAGAAGAATACCTTAGGTTCACTTTAATACCTCTTATGGCAGTATACAACCTCTGCGTTGAAAGGGTCTAATAATATATAATAAGCATTTGCATGCGCATTAAGTTAAAGATATATTCTTGCATGAAATAATCATGTTTATCCGCCAATCTGCTAATTTGTTCGTCCGTCTGTCCATGTTCGCAAAAACTATGATATATATAATCTCTTACCTTTCCCGCAACGAAGAGAGAAAGATTTTTCAATTCTGATCTAAATCTATTGACGTAAGGTGACGGATACTAAGCATTCACACAAATTGAATGAAAGACACTACTTACTTACTTATAAATTTTACTTTTTTTCCAATGTTTCCAATGTAGATCATAGCGTTGTAGTTTGTGGCAATCTGCAATGTGGAGTTTGTTATTGTCACGAATGTTGGAGCGACATGGATCGTGAATGTTTAGTTTGCAATGGCTTAATATCTCAAGATGTGATTATTAACTTTGAAGAATTCTTTGAAGAATTTATATTTGAGTAACGGAACTTGCCTAAAAGAAGACGGATAGTTATATTTTTATTATTATAATATCAGTTAATCTTTTCTTATTGACATTTTCATAACATTTGCATTATTTTTAATGTATTTATTTTAGAAAGCTCCGCCTGTAAACGCAAAGGCAAATATATTTACTTATGTTAGTAAACTATATAAAAGAAAAAAAAAAAAAAAGACTGCAATAGAAAGAAAATATCTTCTGTTTGAGCAAATCTTTGCAACTTGCTATCCTTGTTTTTAAAAACAAACAAATAAAAACACTATAGTGGGACGGGGCGCAGCATTAAACATCACTGTTCTCCTTCGTTTAATACAATTATTCACATAATGATTTTTCAACATAAAGCTTTATGTATGAGAAAAAGTGATCTGCTCCAAATCGGAAGAATTCATGCTTGAGTCAAAGCACATCGGTTCTTCGCGATAATTTCTCGAAAATTGCCTCCTGTAGGTTGAACACAAGAAAACGACATAGACAGAAGGACAGACAAGCCTACGAAAAGAATCGATCGAAAGACGGGTCTGTCCCAATTCTTTCCGAGCGTTGCATACATTCTCACAAATTTAATATGCTATTGCACCACAAGTGGTGTAGGGTATACAAACAAAAAAAATTGTAATCTAAGCTAATTTGAATTCAAGTATAAGAGGAAAAAAAAAGCATCAAGAAATTGTGCCTTGAGGAAAAAATGAATGAATGAACATCGCCAGAGGATGAATGTGTGAAGACTTCAGATATTCCATATCTACGAAAGTAATTTATTCAAGCGCTCCGTGGCTTTTTAATAGAAGATAAGAAGAACTTGATATCATGCACACACATCTTATTGTATCGAAAGAGTTGGACTCCTTATTGGTCGAAGGCAAAATAAAATGTGCGTCAGATTCCACCGGCTGCCACCCATCGTGGCATTATGGAAATCAATAATTTTCAATCTAAGCAGTAATAAGGGTGTAGTGCGTGTATACCTGATACGCTTATACTGAAATAGAATTTTACTTGTCCTTGCTTTGTGTAAATAAACCAGGTGAAGGAATTTGAGAATTTCTAGGTTACCGTAGCATTTGTTTAATAAGATATTAATTAGACTCGCATATGCATATATATGTGTAAAGTAATGTTCTCCTTTCGTCTTTAGTTCTCAAACATGAACTGAGTCATAAGTAACGAATGAATCACTCCATCAATTAGCAATAAATTCAGTGGCTCCAAAGTTAAATGTTTATTGTCACATTGCATAGCATAAGATTTCCTTTAACAAAACAAGTGACACTTAATCAGTAGATGTAGTCAAAGTGCTTTTGTATTTGCTTTCTTCCTTCAAGTTTTTATATATTGTTGACATTTGGATTTTTTCTTACGTGTGTAAGTAAATTTTCGTTGGCAGACTAACTCTAATAACAATAATAAACACATACACATTTACGTTTAAGCGTAGAAGATAACATCGTGGCCCCATTTTATTTATCGGTTGTATGACGACTGTCGTCACCCAATGAAAGCAAGCAGGCAGGCAGGCAAGCAAGCGAGCATGCACGTAAGTAATACGGTAAACTGGCAACAACTGATGTGCGTTGGTTTCTTTCTCTCTTCGAGTAAATGATTGCGCGCCATTTTTTATAGATTAAAGGATGCGAATAATAATAGTATAATAGTTGAAAAGGCGCCAAGTGCGTAACAAGTGGCGATTTTCGAAGATTTGTCGATTACATATACCGTTTGTAATTATATGTGTGTTTTGTAAATATTGCTTTTTTTTTTTTTTGATATGTTTCTTGCAACGGGGCAATGCAAACAGACAGAGGAAGAGATTGTTAGGTTTTCTTTGTCATCTTTCTCTGCCCTATGATTTCGTACTCACGCATACATATTTACATACGCAACCACAAATTGAAAGATATGTCTCGATTCCTTGCCCAGCCTGGCTGTCTATTGAAAGAGTATAAGAAATAGAGAGGCAAACAGGCGATAGTGTAACCCGTCAGGCGACAAGTAAGTCGCGACTTTCGAGCTTCGCGGAGACACACGTTTACTGCGTTTTTCACTATACGATAAGTCGAACGCTTGCGTTTGAACACAAGGAATTACATTAGAAATACAGTAATTTTATGGGTGGTGATGGTAGTGGTGGCGGTGGTGGTTTCCTATCACGCTTCCATATGGATATGATGTTGGCGACATTTGAAATCATGGATGAGGTGCATTCAAAAAATAATAAACTCCCCAAGTTTTTCCATTGTTTAAGCGAGACTGGTTAGAGCTTCGGACGCCGTCATTTTTTTGTTTTTTTTTTCTGTTTCGTTACTACTTTAAATGTGACAGAATACCTTCGTACATACATATACGCGTCCGTCGCCACTAATGCCGACAGCCAACTCAGAATTATGTCGCGTCAACATTTGAATTCAAAAGTCGCCCCAATTGTTTGTTTGACGCTGTTTATATTTGCAAAATATCCAATACTAGTGACAATGACTAGGTGTCGCTGACATTAGACTACCGTTAATAGACGAGGAATTATAATATAACCGACCGTTAAAAACCATTACTCTTGTTCTTCTCTCTCTTTTTCTTTCTTCTTGTTACTATTACGAAGCGTGCTATTCGTTTTTCCGCAATCGAAACTTTGGAGAACTAATTTTTAGGCGGGATAACATGATTGATGCGATTGCTTTAGAAAAATGCCTAACTGGACAGAATAGCGTGCCATACTAGGATTGAGCTATAGATTAGAACACTAAATGATCGAGTTTCGCAGTTTGCAAATTCTTGTTTCGCGTTGTAACTGCGTTATATTATGTCGTTAAAAGTACCCTACGCTTGCGTGAGCTCGGAGAGTTTCTCATTATCTGAACCAGATTGGGCTCGAAGCGAAAAGATCGCTATATGTTTAGAGTTCATGTAGCATAAGCTTCTAGACAATTATGAAGAAAACGTATGACATTACAAACGAGAGAACTCCAAAAAAAAAAAAAAAACTACAGAAGATCATCAAACAAAGCGTTGCGCTTGTGTTATTTGCAGTAACAAGTTATCATGTTTGTGTTTGCGCGTGATTTTCGATACGGTTCACAATTTGTAGACAGGCCAATATCCTGCTGTTCGATATCCATACGTTTCCCTCTCCTTTAGTTGAGCTAAGACCGGGGTTCGTATTTGACAAAAGATTCCTAATTTAATATTAATATGTTTCGAAAGCGTGGAGAGAAGACGCCATTAAATCAAAATTTGTGCGTTTTCAAGAAAACAAAGCGTATATGAAGTAGACAGTATACCCACAAACACATGCATTTATTTTATTAGTTAACTATTCGTTTATGTTTACTGAACACTAGTGTGTATGTGTGTGTGTTTGTTCGAAAAATTTGTTCTGTAATCATTTTTATAGACATTAAGTGTGACATTCTTACGATTATTTGAAATTGGTGGCAAAATAATGACAAACCGAATAGTGTAGACAACATATCTAGACACACACACACACACACACACACACACAAACGCATATATACACTTCCACAAAGAGTATCTATTGATAGTGCGATTTCCTTTGGTTGAACGAACAAGCGTGCATAGTATAAGCATGCACATATACATACGTATACGCATTTATATGTACATATGTTTATAAACATATATATACATATAAATTTATATGTGTTTATATTCGTCAAATGGTATAAAAATTAACGAGCAATGACGCTAAGTTTACGAGAGAACACAATATCAATTGGGGTGCGATTTACGCGTTGTTTTTGTTGTAGCTGATGATGATGACATTCCCTCCACATCATTTAGCTGTTGAGGTTGCGATGATAATGATTTCTGTGTGTATTGAATCTCTAACCGTTAGAATTGATTGTGAGACACTCCGGCAGCCAAGAACGTTTTAAATCGAAACAGAAAACTGCGCAGCATTCAGATAGATTTCGACACCACGGGGACTAGACGACGAATGTCGCCAGAAGAAACAGGAATTTTTTGGTTGGTGCGGATGAATGGCCAAATAGTTGCCATAATTATTTTGTCGACTCTACTGTGTTATAGTAATTTGTTATTGTTATTATATTAGTTATCTTCGAACCACATTGTTCCGTAATGGTAATGGCGATGATGATAACGATGGCGATGGTGATGGTGATGGTGATGGTGTTTTCCTCTCTAGTCTTCTTTTCTATATTCCTTCAAAAGAATTAAGTCAAGTGGCGACCGTCTTTTGTTTTGAACGCGTTATAAAATAAAATATATTTAGTCCTATTTAATATTGTTTGCTTTTTGAAAACAGTATATATATGTATGTACGTGTGTGTGTGTGTGTGTGTGTGTGTATGTGTGTGTCCGCATATCAGTATATTCACGTGTGTAGTTAAAAAAGACTAGGGTGTTTCACAAATTTCTTCCAACCTGCCTAGCTTCACGTTTAATACTAACCATCTAAGTAATTACAACTTTTTACTTTCACTTTAGACATTTGTGGGGAGACGTCTTCTATGCGAGACGATTATTCATCATTCAGGTTCGTTCATTTTAGCACATGTATATACGTGAAATTTAATAACTTGCATCATTCTCTCTCATCTCGTCCGTCATTCCATTCAAAATTAATGGATTGGATGGACCACTCTAATAAGTATTCAAATGTCTCTGCGCAAAATATTGTTGATGTTTTTCGAAAAGGTATGAGTTGTAAGCCTTATGTATAACAAGTGTAAATCAATTTGTTAGTTTGTTGTAAACTGTTTTATGGATATTCCACTCCTGGACGCTAATGCTAATATTTAACGAGTATTCCTCGAGAAAAACAATTAACTGCACTTTGTCATATTTTCATATTAAATATTCAGTAATTTTGATTTCAAATTTCCGAAATAGTTAGAAGCATATTAGCCTGATTATTATTTCCTTCAATTCAAACATAAAAAAGGAAAAAGAAAAAAAAACAAAAAAACACTAAATGCAACTAACAAACAAACGGAGACTA